TATTTATAGGTAAGGTTAGGTTAGGTAGCCAAAAAAAGCTAGGTTAGGTTAGGTTAGGTAGGTTAGGTAGACGAAAAAACATTAATTCATGAAAACTTGGCTTATTAGGCAAATCGGGCCTTGAATAGTAGGCTGAGAAGTGCGTTCTGGCTATTAGGTACGACATATATATATATATATATATATATATATATATGTCGTACCTAGTAGCCAGAACGCACTTCTCAGCCTACTATGCAAGGCCCGATTTGCCTAATAAGCCAAGTTTTCATGAATTAATATATTTTCTCTACTTTTTTTCTTATGAAATGATAAAGCTAACCTATTTCATTATGTATGAGGTCAATTTTTTTTATTGGAGTTAAAATTAGGTTAGATATATGACCGAACCTAACCAACCCTACCTAACCTAACCTAACCTATCTTTATAGGTTAGGTTAGGTTAGGTAGCCGAAAATGTTAGGTTAGGTTAGGTTAGGTAGGTTAGGTAGTTGAAAAATATATTAATTCATGAAAACTTGGCTTATTAGGCAAATCGGGCCTTGCATAGTAGGCTGAGAAGTGCGTTCTGGCTACTAGGTACGACATATATATATATATATATGTCATACCAAGTAGCCAGAACGCACTTCTCGGCCTACTATGCAAGGCCCGATTTGCCTATTAAGCCAAGTTTTTCTGAAATTATATATTTTTCTTTATTTTTTTTAACTTATGAAATGTTAAATCTACCCATTTCATTATGTATGAGGTCAATTTTTTTTTATTGGAGTTAAAATTAACGTAGATATATGACCGAACCTAACCAACCCAACCTAACCTATCTTTATAGGTTAGGTTAGGTTAGGTAGCCGAAAAACAATTAATTCATGAAAACTTGGCTTATTAGGCAAATCGGGCCCTGCATAGTAGGCTGAGAAGTGCATTCTGGCTACTAGGTACGACATTATTATATATATATATATATATATATATATATATATATATATATATATATATATATATATATATATATATATATATATATATATATATATATATATATATATATAAATAAAGGGCCACATTCAAAATATAACTAAAACAAAGTTTCTAAAACAGTTGGCATTCTTTCTAAAATCAGATATGTACCTCGGGCAGGTACATATCTGATATTACAGATACATATACAGTAATTCGCTCTATTGCTCTCTCTTCTATCCTTATTCTCAATTATGGTATTTGTGCTTGGGTTTCTACTACCCAAAATCATCTACGTCCTCTAATTACTCAACACGAATCGGCTATTAGAACAATAACAAACTCTGGCCCTAGATAGCACTCAGCACCCTTACATAAATCCTTGAATATGTTAGATAGTAAGTCACTGCACATCTTCTCAAGTGTACTCTATATATATAAAACTCTGAACTGTAATACCAATCCTGACCTTAAATGCTTCCTAGAAGGTTGTAACAGAACTCATGTGCACCACACTAGAACAAATATCTATTTGATATTCCAAGAGTGTGCCTTAATTAATCTAGAAATGCTCTGCAAATCAAGGCACCTAAAATGTGGAATTACTTTCCCAATCATGTCAAAGACAGTACCTCTCTCAACCAGTTTAAGAGAAATACTAAGTACTACCTAATTAACCTACCTTGCCTCCTAAATGTCAACCTATGTCTTGCTATTTTCAAACAATACTGATTACTGACCAACTTGTATAACTGCTGATATCTTCCAGATATAAACTTGAACAAAAACATGTATAAAAAAAATTACAGTGTTTATTTAGTTAAAATTACTTCTATTGATCTGTTGCAATTTCTGCTGTTCCATCCAACATGTATTTTCATTTTTTGTCGTTTTCATTTTTTCAGTACAATTCATTCTTTTGATCTCAATCTTTGTCAACCAGTGTCTTTTTTTTTTTTTTTAAGAGCGCTGTTTGTTGACATAATTGTGTTTGTGCTGCTTTTTCATCTATGTTTTCATTTCTTGTTTTCATTCTACTCATTATGCTCAATTAGTATTAAGCTTGTCATTTAAGTTTATCATGCCCGAAACGCTTTGCGTAATAGTGGCTTTAGGCATTGTATGTACTAGCTCTACCTATAAGTCAACCAATCTTTGTAAAAATTTATTGTATGTATGTACCTTACCTAAATAAAAATTATTATTATTATTATTATTAAGTCTTATTTTTTAAGTGCTTTCCACATCTTGCCTGAAACATTCTGAATACTAGTGACTTTAGGCATATTATATACTAGCTCTATCTAGAAATCCAACATGCTTTTTGAAACTCATTTTATATGTACTTTTACCTGAATAAACTATTATTATTATTATTATTATTATTATTATTATATTGGGAGTGGGTAGTACAAGATATAGTGAGTGTTTGAAACAAGTAGGAACAAAGCAGTTGGCCCAGATGGAATTTCACCATGGGTACTGAGAGAATGCACACCTGAATTCAGCATTCCACTTCAACTGATTTTTCAGGCATCCCTGTGTACAGGAGTCCTGGCAGATATATGGAAAAAGGTTAGCATAGTTAAAATCTACAGAAATCCTTCTTTCTCATTGGAGTTTTGGCACATTTTCTGCTCTTCCCAGACACTTGAGTGGCATGAGTTGTGGTCGGTGTTTCAGTAGTTTTTAGCTAGCTTGCTTTTTGAGGTGCTCGATGTCACTCATTTTGCATTGGCCCTACCTGCCATGTGGGCAACTGGGTGCTCCATGTCAACTTGCCTCTTCTTTCCATTTTGCAGGGCATAGTGGTCACAGGGCATTCCACTAGCTGGCTGTTGTTTTGCACAACTGGTATGTTCAAGAGCTAATTTTGCAGCTGGCTGCATAGTGGTCTGAAATCATTGGCTTCAGTACCAAAGGTGGTGGCTCTTCTTCCTGTGGTACTCATAACAGAAGAATTGCCTACATTTTTGCCCCCTTTTACAGGGTGCGGTGGCAGATTTCTTTAATGCTAGTTTAGCATGTTGACAGGTTGTGGTTTTCTAAAGTTCAGGAATTGGCCTAGTCTCTTCCCCTTTTATTCACCTTATCCATTTATCCTCCAGTGTTCTCAAGGTGCTAACAGCAGGTGCCTCTGCTTTTCAACCATTGAGGTAGGTATTGTTTGTAGTAGGGTTCTGTTCTCACTACACATTAGCAGCCTTCACGTATCTGAGCCTTGCATCCTCCTGGTTGGGGGTAGGGGAACTTGAGATACTGAAGTTTCCGGCTTTAGTGCAGCCTTTGACCTCGGTCTCCCCTTCACACAAGACGTCCTAGGTTTTCCCAGAAGATGGCTGCTTGTAGACACACTTCATGCCAACCTTTCTTGCAGTTTGCCCCTTTGAGAGTACAATGGGATACAGCCAAGCTCTTTCTTTTATGCCAGGACTCACGATACATAAGTGTTTTCACGTGGTGTCACAGAGCCTGCAGTGAGGCTGGTCTTCAATCCACCCACTCGTGCTGTGCAAGGAGTCTATGCTATGTTTTAAAAGTGAATCACTTTAAATACATGGAGGATAAAATACTAAAGAAATTTTTATTGACATTTGTAAGACAAAAATTGAAACAGTCACTGAAAGTTGCACAACAGGTCAATTTTTGCAGCAGTCAAAAAAGCTAACCAAACCCTTGGAATAATCAAGCATACCTTTGACTTTAAGGAAAAGAAGTGATTTAACTGTATAAATCTCTGGTGCACCCCAATTTGGATTACTGAATCCTGGCATGAAGACCTCACTTTCAGGACATAGATTCTCTGGAGAAAGTACAACACTGGGTAACAAAAGTCATTCCAGTCATAACACTGGTATCCAGAACACTTGAGGGCCACAGGGACTAACAACATTACAAACCAGGCATAATAGGGCAGATCTCATTGAAACTTTTAAAATACTGAACAATTTGGAGGATGTTGATACTGAGAATTTCTTCAGAAGGTCAGATGTAACACAAACAAGGAGCAATGGTTTCAAGCTCAACAAACTTTAATGTAGAACTTTACCCACGGTGTTATAAACCCATGGAACTGCCTACCTGATAAAGCCACAAATGCCAACTCTTTGTAGGTTTTAAAATCCACCTGGAGAGGATCATCAAGGCAAATGGAGGAACCTTCATCAAGGTTCAGCTTCCTGTCCTCGTCGAGGCCACTAGTGTTAGTGGCCCTTGGGTAAATCAGGTTTAGCATTGCAGAAACATTTACTATTGGAGTGACTGATTCATTTATAATTTTGTAATCAATGTATTCTATAATTCATTTTCAATTTTACTGACTGTATCATCTGAATGCTTAAGTGTATAAACACTTCAGTATTCAGATGACAGTAATAAATCAGAAGCACATCAATAAATTGGGTACAAAGACATGCTGCTAAATGGCTTCAGGAGCTGAAACACAAGGGCTATGAGGAGAGGCTAGAGGCGTTAAATATGCCAATGCTAAAAGACTGAAGGAAAAGAGAGAGAGAGAGAGATAAGACCACTATGTACAAATAGTAACAGGAAATGACAAAAAATAAACATGGATTTTTTTTATTTGAAACTGAATTATTTAAGGTAAGGAAATAAGGTGCCAAAAATATAAGTGTTATTTTTTGTACAGCGGTTGACAGTTGGAACAAAGTGAGAAGGTAGTGGATGCTTAACTATCAGTAGTTTTAAACCGTCATTTGACAAAGAATACTGTGAAAATGGGGCACCATGTGCACATCCCTCATCCTGCATCTACACTTAGGTAATTACACACACAACCCATTGTACCTTCGTTTGTGTCCACGTGCAGATTTTGGTAATTAAATAATACCTTCATACAATGCCACTTACGTGCAATAGCGTTCCGATTCACGGATTCTCATAACTTTGACTACACTTAAAACTGCGAAGTACTTGAGGTTCAAAGATCATAAATGCAGATAAATAAGATAGGCAAATTTGATTTGAGTGCTTGAGGTACTGAATACATGTATGGTATACAAAACTACACTCCTACTTACACTACTCATTGTGCAGGGAACATTGCGGACATAAACACCACAAGGCTCACGGACCATTTCCTTACACCTTGCCCTAAAACAAAAGATATAAATATATATATTAATTATCAACCTGTTAAACTGCTGTACAAGTTTAAAGTGAATAAATAATGATTATTAATTTCTTGTGTGTAAATATGCCTTCTCAATATTGACATTTGTTTTCTAATGGGTTAAAAAAGAATAACAGATTAAAACCAAGTTGTGGAACTTTGACAAGTTTGCGAGATGAAAACAATTTCTTCAATAAGGTTTCTTTACACGAGTTTGCACATGTGAAGTGAACCCCACATTACTGATATTAAAAGTTCCCATTAAGCACGTTCATAATATTAAAACAATCATTAAAACCACAGACTGCTACACCCCTCTAGAACACAAGAAGACTTTTCTGGCCACTATGCTTCCCTGGCCACCAGGTGTGTGTACTTCTCTGGTCACCAAGTCACCAAATGTAACTCACCACGATACCTTAATAGAATTCCAAATAAGATCCCATTATATTGGGTTTAATTTTTGTATTTAGTGTTCAGTATCTTCATCGCATAACAGGCCAAGATTAAAACCACGAAATTAATCTGAAGTAGTAAAATATGGGGGGGAACAGGAATATGCCAGATGCAGGATACATGAGAAAAATAAGGCTTTAAGTGCTTACCACAACAAAGGTTGTGGTAAGTTGTCATTGATGGTGCACAGCTCAACCAGGGTTGCTGTAGGCCTATCATAAAGTTTAAAACTCCCACACATATACAGGGCTCGCATCTGCTTCCTTAGGCCTCCAGTAACCATCCCCCCATTTTGAAAAAAAAAAAACCAGCGTTGAATGTAATGAAACGCCATTTTCTGGGTGAGCCCCGGAGGCTCCCTGGAGCTTATCGGGCTAATGTATGTTATATTAGACCGGGACATTAGCTAAGGAGTTCAGACCTACCAGGGACCAGTGCCAGAACCTGGCCCCTTCAGAGAGGTTTCAGGGACCAATGGCCCTGGAAAACCCCTTTGTGGTTGGGGTTTTCCTTATCTGCCATCGACCGGGGTTAGGCACCCAGAAAGGTAGGCATAACAAAAAAAAAAAAACACGTGGTAAAAAACTGAAACAAAAAACCGAACAGAGGTAGAAAATCACTACAATCACAAGGAAACAAGCAGACAAGCAAACATCACACTTTACTGCCGCGCCGATCGTCCGCGCAGCCCTCCCCGCCTCGAGAGGGGGAGGGGGGGAGCCTTGGACCTACCGCGCCGGCTGCCAAGCTTCAGTTCGGAAGCTAAGCTTCAACCAACGCGAAAAAAATGCCGACCAGTGGGAGGGAGGGTTGCCAGGGAGCCTCCGGGGCTCACCCAGAAAATGGCGTTTCATTTCATTCAACGCTGGTTTTCTGTGGGGAACCCCTACGGCTCCCTGGAGCTTCATACCCAAAGAGAAGGAAAAGAAAGGGCCAACCCGGGAGGCGGTCGCCACAAACTCTGCAACGCAAAGCCGAGACAACAGGTCGCAAATTGCGACCCAAGGCCACAAGAACGCACAGGAGCAGATGCGCATAAAGAATGGGAGGCCAAGAACCTGTGCGACCCTCAAATCCCTGCGCCTGAAATGAGCCCTAGACGTCGCCAACACAGCAGCAAAAGCTGCAAACATCTGAACAGCACGGGCGCAAAGACAGACCGCAGGCTGGAAGAATGAAAAACTGCGGACGACCTAGGAGACCCGAGCCCGGAAAACAGGGAATTAGGGGAACCGGATCAACCACAGCGCATCCCCTGACACAGTACGCAGGCAACAGCAAAATACACAACAGGACAACACAGGATGCACCCCCGGCCAAACCAATCAAGCATCAATAACCCAAGAACCCCTCCGGAAAGCAGCTGTCTCGGTCATCGCCAGGACGGAGAAAGGTTGCACACGTACAAATCTTCCACCACCAAAGAGCAGAAACCTGAACCGAAGGGGCTACCACAAACTGAGAAGATAAGAAGGCACCCTGAAGAAGGACTAGGACAGCTCAGGCGACGCATGAGCAGGCCGGAGGTGAAACAAAACACGAGAAAGTGTACGAAACGTCATACTGTCGCCAAGACGAAGCTTGCAGGTGGGACACCGTCAACAAAGCCACCTTAACACCATAGAGATGGTGATACCCGCGTCAAAATGCCAGACGCGAAGAGCCGAGGAAAAGGTCGAACCAGTCACGTACAAGACCGATTTGACCTGCCGAAAGAGGAGGAGCCGTGGGAAAATGCCCCGGGTTCGAACACCTATCAAGCAGCGTCTGAAAATAAGGCTGGGCCAGCCACCAAGGAACCATAAGAACTGCTCTCGAGGGAATGGGCTGCAACCGAGCCAGAACCCAAGGCAACAGCTGGACCGGGAGAAGAGGAACAGTTACCCCCAGCTCGACTAGTCCTGCCGAAAAGCATCCACCGTGAATGCCTCACAGGTGGGAAAGGGCGCCACATAAAATGGGCGACGCCTAGATCACGCCGACTCGAAGACGTCCACGGCCAGGAGTCCATATGTCCGACAGAGCCAACAAAACGAGTCGGCGACGACTGGCCAATCCGCGAAGAGGAATGAACTGGGACAGCTGTCCGCCAGGACGCAGGACACACCCCGGACATGATCCTCACGGTTAGCCAAACCCCTGTGGTTCCTGCAAGAACCGCCAGAGAACAGTCCGAACAGAGCCGAATGGTAGAGCACCGAGTGACCCAAACTTTCCGAAGCGCAAACCAGACAACCACGAACTCCCGAACCATGCTGTGAGCCCGACGGACGGACAGACTCTACCAACCTCGGCCGACCTGGTGAGTACTGGTCACAAAGCTCCAGCTGAGAGATGACCCGTCCGTGAACACATCAAGCGAAGGCTCGGGGACGTGCCAAGGCACGGAATCCCGAAAACCCCAAAGAGGAAGCTGGTGACGCAGCACCAACACAAGAACCCCGGAGGAACGAACCCAACGAATGCAAGAGGCGGAAGGGAAGTCTCTGAAGGAACCAAACAGACGTCGAAGCCAAACCCTACTCAGCGGGCAGACCAGCACGTCGAAGTTCAGACTCCCGCACAACTGCTCAAGCAACCGCTGAGCAACCCGGGACCCCCTCATGTACAGCTGAAGGCGGGACCACAGCCGCAGTAACACTTCTGGAGGGAAAGACAAGGAGTGGCCCAATAGCCCTAAACAAGGCCCAGGTCCGAACCCAGGACGGAAACAGATGAAATGGCCTCCAGATCACCAGGAAACTAAACCCAGCGATCTGGAAAGAACCACACCCCTGGCGAGCCGACAAGCGGACTGACTGGGAGCCCATACCAGCCAGTGGTCGAGGTAGGCCAAACACCGAATCTCAGACTCAGACAGGGCACCAAGATCCGGCAAAGATGCAAAAAAATATATACCAAGTGCCCATTACAAAATAGGGAAGGCAACAAAAGCAGCAAGCCTGAAGCCCCACCACCAACTGTGCCAGTCCCAGAAAACTGGAGAGGTACGTGCCAAGAAGTGACTTGGAGGTCCAGGGCCACCATCCAGGCACCCGGCTCCAACAGAAGCCGGACAGGAGACAACAGTCCCCCGAGGAGGGCATAGAATCCAGGGCGCAGACTGAAGAAGTCCAGAAGAACTGCAGATGCGAAAGGCCCATGACTGCAAGGAGCAGACAGGAACCCCAGAAGGATGGGGCGGAACGACCACGTCCAACGCACCCACTAAGATGACATGACGAAGCACAGGGGAAGAAGCCCACCCTGCTAGCCCTGAACCCCCCCCCCCAAAGGGGAAGAAGCCGTCTACCGACGCCACCAGAGGCCGGAAGACAACAAAAAGTGCCCACCAACAGCGGGACCATGCGAGAGTAAACAGAGCAAGCTGCTTCTCCAGCACCCTGTCAACAGAGTAGGGAACAGAACCCCTTCCGAAAGAAAAAGTACACATACATATACACATTATGTATATACACATACATATACATATACACAAACACACAAGATATGTTACACACGTGTGTGTAAACCCATGTGCACACACACAGCGTGCACATGCGTACACACACACGTGTGTGTTTAGGAAGTGATGTGGTGGAGGCTGACTCCATACACAGTTTCAAGTGTAGATATGATAAGAGCCCAATGGGCTCTGGAATCTATACACCTGGCGAATTACGGTTGAGAGGCGGAACCAAAGAGCCAGAGCTCAACCCCCGCAAACAACTAGGTGAGTACATACATTGCAAAAGAAAAATACCAGTCGCCGACCAGTGGGCAGAGCACACCACGCCGGCCAGGCAAAGAAGGCACAAAACTGCATCAAAAGGCCCACCTCGACAGCAAAACCTCAAAATCCCAGCACAACCACAACACGTGCCAAGACCCAAAAAGATCAGTCTGCAAGCCAGGAAGACCCTGGAACCCCAGAAGGCAGAACTGGGTCACACAAGGAAACAAAGCCCCCTGAACCCACAAAGGGGCCCCAAGAGGAAGAAACCTCCGGAACGAAACCAAAGAACCCAAAGGAACCCAGAATCGAACCAGGGGAAGCCAAACCACCACATTTGTCAGCGGAGAACACCACAGAAGTCAAAGCACAGCCCCAGACAGAACCCCCTGGGAAAACGGTCATAACAGACCGAAAACCGAGGGACAAGGTGTGGGAGCAAGCATACCAGCCAGGGGACACTGAGTCCAAACCCAAATACCCAGACCAAAAACAGACAAAATGGAAAACCCGGTGTAAAATCAACACCCAAACATTCCCAGAGGAACAGGCAACGGGCAGAAAACACCAGAAAAGCAAAGAAACAACAACAGGAGAATAAAAACCCCTGAAAAAAGGTGAAAACTCACCCCAGAAGCTCGCTTGCACACCCAGTCGCATGTAAACAAACCGCAACGCCGCCCTGGTGGCCATTCCGGGAAACCGACAGACGAAAATGGCCGCCAGCAGGGGCTGTGGCTGATGCTAAAAATACAAAAACACGCCAGCAAAAGTGGGAAGCAAGCAAAGTGGATGGGCGAAAAATGCCGCCCAACAGCAGAAAATCCAGGCAGGGGCAAACCGCCCCAGAACTGCTAGCAGGCATCCCCCACAGCCCAGGGAACCAACAACAGAGGCCCCGGGGCAGAGCCGTCCTCCAAGCCCTCCGCCCTTAAAGAAAAGCAAGAGTCCATGGGCAAGGCAGCAAGAAAGGGCCGCTGGTAAGACGCCTTGGCAGGAGGAACCGGCTCAAAAAAACTCCGTCCGCAACCCGAACAGGGCAGCCCCCGAAAACCGCCCGAGTCTCAGCCCCAACTAAACCCTGCCCCGACCCCGAAACCCATAGACAGTCTGGAGCCGGGAACAGGGAGGGAAAGGAGCGAACAGCATCTAACCAAACGGGGCGGCCTCGGGGCATCCGAGTGGGAAACCAACCTAGCATGTTGCAGCAACCTAACCTCGCTTGCAACACGAATGCCGCCTATACTCTGAACAGTAATAACATCAGGAGAGTACTGGAGAACAAGCAGAGAAATACTCGCAAGACTCCGGGTCAAGGTGTCAGTGACCCAACAGACAGCATGACGGAGGTAAAAGTGGCGACTGTCACCCGGAGACAAGGGCACAGCAACTAACGATCCCGTACAAGACGGGTTGGAACCCGGAAGACACATTCAATGGTCCACCGAGCCCCGACGGGTTTCCAGGGCTCGTAGGGGTAACAACTACGGGAAGCCCTGGCAAGGGGTTGCTAACCGGTTAAGAAACCCAAACAAAACAAGAGGGTAGAGGATAGCACTGAAAACCCCTGCGACATGTACAATCACGGGGGCCTAGCAGAGGACCACCAAACACTACCAGTGGAACTATAGCCACACTGGGCAGACCCCCACCAGGCATGAAAATAAAAAAAAAGAAAACCCCCGCAAAAGTACATCGTCACCAGAGGCAACAGGAACCGGCCGCCGCTTAGGTGGTACAATAATCCAAGCACCCAAAAATCATATATTTGAATCTCTACCTTCTTTTCCCTAAAGTCAAAGGTATGCTTAATTATTCTTAGGGTTTGGTTAGCTATTTTTACTGCTGTTCCTACCTGCTGCCCCACCACTTTCAGCGAATGGTGGATTTTGATTCAAAGGACCATTTTATCATCAATCTGCTGCAAGGTAATGCTATTAATTTGGTAGTTGTGACGTGGGTTGTTATGCCCCACATGCAAGTCTTGCATTTGTAATATTAAAAAGCATTTGCCAGTCTTCTGACCATCTGTGGAGTTCATGTAGGTCTCTTTGTAAGGCTTCAATATCATTCTCATTTCCCACTTTACCATAGATCTTAAGTGTCATTTGCAAATTTGATGATGTGGTTTGTAATATTCTCATCTATGTCACTGATGTATATGATAAAAAGGGTTGGCCCCAAAATGGACCACTGTGGTACCCCACTCGCCACATTTATTCAGATTCATTCCCATGTAGCACATTTCTGTTTTCTTTTGTTTTAACCATTGTTTCATCTATTCTAGTATTCTACAATTATTCCATATGCCTTGATAGTCTTGCATATAGTATCTTACTAAAAGCTTTAGCAAAATTCATGTATAATACATCCACAGGAAGTTCTTTGTCAAAGTAGCTAGTTACCGTTTTCAAAGTTGTGAGCAGGCTTGTAAGATAAGATCTATTTTTAACAAACTCATGTTGAAAAGATTTTACAAGATTGTTAGCTGTGAGATTGTGAATGATTTCTTCCCTCAGGATCGATTCTCGTCATGAGATTGCAGATGTGTGAAGTCAAGATGATAGGACAGTAGTTTTCTGCTGAGTTCTTTCTGCCTTTTCTGAAAAGAACCCCAAAGGGGCAAGAAACTTTGTTTCAAGTATTACAATATGTTCACTTAACTGAAACTGGTGTGATGGTGAGTCACCAGGTAACCTGGCTATTAGTGAGGGCACTCATTTGAAAGTTACTTGAAATAAGAGTTTGTAAGGGTCATATATTTAACTTATAAAATGTCTCTGACATTTTCAGCACATTATGACGGCAGTGATTCTTAAAGTTAACCTGTGAGTGGCTAATGTGTCCTCTCATCAATGACAACTTTTTATGGTACTGATCAAGCTGTACAAAATTTAAGCACTGTAATATCAACATTGTCTGTGCATCGGCCCTGATCGCTTAGGTGGGTTGTGTAACATACTGTATATGATTTGGGATGCACCAAAGACTTTGGTGTTTTTTTTTTTCTTTTATAAAATTTGTATTTATTTGTTACAGTTCGGTTACAGTAGTTAGGTTAGTTGGATGTTAGAAATGGTGCAAAGATGTCGTGATGGGTTGTGACGAGGATGTCTTATGTGCTGTTGGCGGAGTCAGGCAAGGCATAGTGTTGAAGGTCATCGGAAGTGGAGAGCTTGTGCAAGGCCTGGAGAGAGCAGCTTGAATGAAGCAGAGAGCAAAGCTTGAACAAGTTCACGGGTGGAGTCCTTGAAGGAAGGCAAGACCCGAGAGCTTGAATGAGTGAGAGCAGAGAGCTTGAATGAGGGCAGGAGTAGCTGTATCCTTTGTAGTGTCACTTGTAGTTTCTGGTGTGGGAGTTGGAACTAGACAGGCGATGCTGTGTCGCCGACCATCTTATGTCTCTGTTCACCTGACCTTGTGTTGGACCCATTATGCTCTTTACTTGGCAGGCTCATCATCATTTGATATGATGGGAAGCTTACCGGTTACTTTTGCCTGTCCTAAATGATTGATGGAAACCTTGGGGAATTTGCTAGCTGTCACTAATGGTCAGTGAATGTGACTGCAGGTGTTATAAGCAATTGTGGAGATTGTAGGGACCTTTTGAGTAATTACAATAGAGATTCTGGAAAAACGTGGCACAGATACATTATCTCTAATGTAACTGCTACAGTTGCATGGGTTTGTAAGCTTCTGGTTAGGCAAAACAGTTGCATTTTATGGAGTGGCAAATGAAAAGAACATGCTGGATACCAAGCCACATGTCACCCTGCCGGACTGCACATCTTACATCCAAGGATGCACTGGGATCAAGCATGAGGGAAAATAGCCAAATGTAAGAACTACGTATATGTATATGCTGTACTATGTAACTTACAGATTGGCAGTTCGAGAGAAATTAGCACCTGGTCCCTCACAATTTACAGTGGAACTCTGACTGTTAAGGTAGTCTTCCAGTCGTGGATCCCAGCCATCTAGTATGTCCTTTTCTGAAGACACTTGGACTGTCTTTGCAATAGCACCCATACTTGCGACCTAAAAAAAATTTTAGATGATTTTTAAAGAAGAAACAATATTTTTGGTCTTCACATGCTATACATGTTTCTTGTAAATATAAACCTGTCAAAATAAGAGTACCACCTGCAAGTAAATGGATTAATCAAAGAAAATTTAATGAGATGAAATTTTTAGTAGTGAATTGCAGTGCTATTTTGTTTCATGGTCATGTCAGATTCCACATGCAATTATTGTTAATCCTTAAGAGATGTTCATGGCAACTTTCCCTGCAAAAATAATATGAAACCCAATATTACTGGATTTTTAACCATTCCACTACTACTAATACAAGGATGCTTTTGTCATATCTGACCACACTATGCTAGTCATACAGGGATGATTTGAAATGCTGCATAAGATTTTAATTTCCTGCGGGTACACAGGGGTTCTTGTCAGTTTTCTTAGACTTCCAGTAAACAGATGTCACTTTGAGACAAATTTGTGGACACCATTCCTGGGGTGTGAAAGCATTAGTACTGAGTAAGCAACCAAAGGTGGCATATGCAGTATAAGCTAACAGTACAGCTGTTGGCATATGCAGTACAAGCTAACAGCACAGCTGTTGGCACATGCAGTATAAGCTAACAGCACAGCTGTTGGCACATGCAGTATAAGCTAACAGCACAGCTGTTGGCATATGCAGTATAAGCTAACAGCACAGCTGTTGGCATATGCAGTACAAGCTAACAGCACAGCTGTTGGCACATGCAGTATAAGCTAACAGCACAGCTGTTGGCACATGCAGTATAAGCTAACAGCACAGCTGTTGGCATATGCAGTATAAGCTAACAGCACAGCTGTTGGCATATGCAGTATAAGCTAAGAGCACAGCTGTTGGCATATGCAGTATAAGCTAAGAGCACAGCTGTTGGCATATGCAGTATAAGCTAAGAGCACAGCTGTTGGCATATGCAGTATAAGCTAAGAGCACAGCTGTTGGCATATGCAGTATAAGCTAACAGCACAGCTGTTGGCATATGCAGTATAAGCTAACAGCACAGCTGTTGGCATATGCAGTATAAGCTAACAGCACAGCTGTTGGCATATGCAGTATAAGCTAACAGCACAGCTGTTGGCATATGCAGTATAAGCTAACAGCACAGCTGTTGGCATATGCAGTATAAGCTAACAGCACAGCTGTTGGCATATGCAGTATAAGCTAACAGCACAGCTGTTGGCATATGCAGTATAAGCTAACAGCACAGCTGTTGGCATATGCAGTATAAGCTAACAGTACAGCTGTTGGCATATGCAGTATAAGCTAACAGCACAGCTGTTGGCATATGCAGTATAAGCTAACAGCACAGCTGTTGGCATATGCAGTATAAGCTAACAGCACAGCTGTTGGCATATGCAGTATAAGCTAACAGCACAGCTGTTTAGCTTGTTCTGCTGCATCACTTAAAAATGACAAACAATCTATGTAACTGCTATTTTTTGGTGATGATAGTATCATAGAAGATCCTGACTATGATAAAGATTATATACACTGTTCAGATGTCAGTGAACACTGTGCTGTTTATGATCTTCGCATCATGAAACAACCTTCTTAGGAAGTAAACTTGTGCAAAATGATTTATTGTCTGGATTTGGCCAGTGTACTGCACAACCTGTGATATCACAAGGAAAGGGGGTGCACCACCCTACATATCATGTCTGTCAGTATTATTGTGACTGTCACATGTCCTGCAGAAATGGGACTTGCGAGAGCTCCCACGGGGTTCCCATCCCGTTCCTCAGGAATCCAGTAAACAGTTGGCATCTTGAAAAATAAACAAATATTCTGCATCCCTCCTGGCTGAGTGTGCCTCAGTACTGTCAGAGCGACCAAGGTTGACACATGCAGTTGCAACTCTCAGTACAACTGCACAAGTTGGGGGCCACACCACCACTTAATAATCACAAATTAAATAACTTCAATTTTGTGATGAAAGTGTTATAAATGATCCTGACTAATAAAAATAATGTACAAGATTCAGATATCAGTGAATGCAATGCTATTTTATTTATTTATTTATATATACAAGTGAACTGTATATACTATATATAGTGAGCTATATATGCACATTCTTACATTCTTGTACAGCCACTATCACGCATAAGTGTTTCGGGCAAAACAAAACGAAGACGGCACGTTCTGATGTTCACAGCGGGAGGCAGATTTTCACAGCAAACAGCCGGTTTGTAAATCTACACATCATGCAAAATGACCTCGTGTTCTTTTAGAAAATAATAATGTGGAAAATTATTCACATTCATGATTTAGTGACAAGAATCTGAGAGTAATAGCAGTGTTCACAGTAATAATAGTGACGTGCATAGTATATTTCTCAGTGTTTTGCTGCGTCAGCTGCTGGAGTTAATATGTCGTAGTAATTACCCAAGTGTATTTACCTATGTGTAGTTACAGGGGGAGAGCTACGCTCGTGGTGTCCCGTCTTCCCAGCACTCTGCCATACAGTATAACGCTTTGAAACTACTGATGGTTTTGGCCACCACCTCACTCAACTTGTTCCAACTTGCGACCACTCTGAAAGTGAATTTTCTTATATTTCTTTGGCAGCTTCGTTTAGATAGTTTAAATCTATGTCTTGTTCTTGAAGTTCCATGTCTCAGGAATGTGTACCTCTATACTATCCTAAGATTTCATTACTATCACACCAAAATTACTTATGTGGTTCATTATGATTTATAAAAATATAGATAGATGTAAAGTATATAATTTATTTATTTATATACAAGAAGGTACATCGGGTTTGTGAGAATACATAGCATAGTATTTACAATCTTGTAAAGCCACGTACATGCAGCATTTCGGGCAGGTCCTAAATCTAACAGATAATTTTAAGTAGGTAAATTCTAGCAGAATTAATAAAATGATAACACATACATTGCAAGAAAAAATGAGATGAGAGAGATTAGAAAGTATATTAAAGCACATTGGTATATTAAATGTGTGTGTGTATATTTACCCGATTTACCCAAGGGCCACTAACCATAGTGGCCTCAACGAGGACAGGAAGCCGGCGGCTTGTTGAAGGTCCCCCCCCCCCATTTGCTAAATAAAGCTAAATAAAGTCCATCTTTGGTTAACTGCCAACAAACTCACCCTGAACATTGACAAAACTTTCTATATTCTGTTTGGCAATAAATCCTCTAATCAAATAAATCTCAAAATAAATACCAAAATTTGTAACAAATTAGATGGCAAGTTCCTTGGCGTTCTCATTGACCACAAGTTGAATTTCCAGAGACACATTCTAAATATAGCAAAAAAAAGTTTCAAAAACTGTTGGCATTCTTTCTAAGATCAGATATTATGTACCCCGCCCTGCCCTGATGACACACTATTACTCCCTCATCTATCCATAACTCAACTATGGTATTTGTGCTTGGGGTTCTACTACCCAAAATCATTTACGTCCTCTAATTATTCAACACAAAGCTGCTATTAGGACAATATCCAACTCTAGCCCCAGACATCACTCGGTACCCCTACTCAAATCTCTGAATATGTTAGATATTAAGTCACTGCACATTCTCTCATGTGTATTATACATATATAAAATGCTGAACTGTAATGCCAATCCTGACCTCAAAAGCTTCATTGAAGGTTGTAACAGAACCCATGAGCACCACACCAGAAATAAATACAGTTTTGATATTCCAAGAGTACGACTTAATCAAACTAGAAATGCTCTACAAATCAAGGGACCCAGAATGTGGAATGACCTTCCCAACCATGTTAAAGACTGTACCTCTCTCAACCAGTTTAAGATAAAAACGAAGCACTACCTAATAAATTCCCTGTAACCTACCTTACCCCTCTGTTGTCAACCCATGTCTGTTTTTTTTTTAAACAACGCTGTTTGAATGTAATTGTCTGTAATAATTTGTAATTGTATTTGTGCTGCTTTTTCAGCCATGTTCCCCCCTCTTTTACCTCTATTTTTATTTGTTCTCAACACATTTTATTCTTTATACCCATTAGTATTAAGCTTTAGTCATTAATGTTCTTCCTGCCCGAAACGCTTTGCGTAATAGTGGCTTTAGGCATTGTATGTACTAGCTCTATCTATTAATCCAACAAACTTTGTAAAATCTTTTGTATATATGTACCTTACCTAAATAAACATTTATTTATTTATTGATTATTATTTGCTTTGATCTTTTCCAGGTATATTATAAAACCCATAACAGTTTTGGCATTTAGGGCTCCGGCGGGTAGGAGGTTCCGTGGGTTAATAACCCTGTGGGTGAAGAAGCATCTGCTGTTGTCAGTCCAACATTGTGGCTTGTTGAGCGTGACACCGTTGTTGTTCCTTGTTTGTGTTACATCTGACCTTCTGAACATATTGTCCGGATCAACATCCTCCAAATCGTTCAGTATTTTAAAAGTGTCAATAAGATCCGTTCTGTGATGCCTGGTTGGTAGTGTTGTTAGCCCCTGTGGCCCTCAACCGTTCCTGATACCAGAGTTAACTTAGTGCTGGAATGACTTTTGTTGCCCGGTGTTGCACCTTCTCCAGAGCAGCTCCGGCCTTCTGACGAACAAGTCTCCATGCTTGGATATTTTTATTTATTTATTTATTTATTTATATATATACAAGAAGGTACATTGGGTTTGTGAGAATACATTGGATAGTACAGTATTTACATTCTTGTAAAGCCACTAGTACGCGCAGCGTTTCGGGCAGGTTCTTAATCTAGCAGATAATTTTAAGTAGGTAATTTCTATCAGAATTGATAAATGATAAAGATACATTGCATGAGAAAAATGAGATGAGAGATCTTAGTAAGTATATTAAAGCACATTGTTATATTAAAGCTCTGATTGATTACATTGACAGCTTGATTAGTAATTTAAACAAGATTAATAGACACCATACAGCAGATTGACAGCACATACAAGACAGCAATGATCACAATGGTAAAGATGTTCAGATTGGGTACATAAAGATTGGGAGACTGGGTAGCAAAAGATACAGATAAACAAGATTTATAAACACCATACAGTAGATTGGCAGCACATATAAGAAGACAGCAATGATCACAATTGTAAAGATGTTCAAATTGGGAACATAAAGGTTAGGAGATTGGGTAGCAATAGATACAGTGCAATTTTAAGGCAAAAAGTGAAAAACTATGAAGATGAAATTAGGTACTTTTTAGTATTGATTTTGAATGATGTAAAAGTTGGACAGCTTTTCAATTCAGTAGGGAGTGAGTTCCATAAACTGGGTCCCTTTATTTGCATAGAGTGTTTACACAGATTAAGTTTAACTCTGGGGATATCAAAGAGATATTTATTTCTGGTGTGGTGATAATGGGTCCTATTACATCTGTCCAGGAAGAGTTTCTGACAAGGATTTGCATTTAAGAACAGGGTTTTGTAAATGTAGTTGACACAAGAGAATTTATGGAGTGAGATTATGTTTAGCATGTTTAGGGAGTTAAACAAGGGGGCTGTGTGTTGTCTGAAAGCAGAATTTGATATTCTGATAGCAGATTTTTGCTGGGTGATGATGGACTTGAGGTGGTTTGCAGTGGTTGAACCCCATGCACAGATACCATAATTGAGATAGGGATAGATTAGTGCATAATATAGAGATATGAGAGCAGAGTTAGGTACATAATATCTGATTTTGGAGAGTATACCAACTGTTTTAGAGACTTTCTTGGTTATGTGTTGTATGTGGGTACTGAAGTTGAGTCTCTTGTCTAGGAATATGCCAAGAAACTGTCCATCATTTTTATTGCTAATGTTTACATTGTTAATCTGAAGCTGAATTGCATTTGTAGATTTGCTTCCAAATAGGATGTAGTAGGTCTTTTCTATGTTAAGTGTTAGTTTGTTGGTTGACATCCATAAGTGGACTTTTTTTAGTTCATTATTAACAACATCATTTAGTGTATGTGGGTTGGGGTTGGAGTAGATGAGGGTAGTATCATCAACAAACAAAATAGGTTTCAGAATGTTAGAGACATTAGGCAGATCATTGATGTATATAAGAAATAGAAGAGGTCCCAAGATGCTGCCCTGTGGCACTCCCAACGGTTATTGGTAGAATGGGAGAGATTATATTATTGATGGCTACACATTGGTGTCTATCACTAAGATAGGATTGGATATAGTCCAGTGCATGATATAATAAAACCTAATGACCAGAGACTTATACAACTGAACCATTGCCTTCTTTTCCGTATAGTCAATTATTGTCCTTATATTCATACACATATTCAGAGAAGCAAAGGAAGAATCCGTGGTTTAACAGAGAAGCAAAGGAAGAATCCGTGGTTTAATAAGGAATGTATGAAAGCAAAGGAGCAGAACAAAAGGGCATGGAGGAACTTCCGTAATAACAGAACACCAGAAAGTAGAGAGAGAGATACCAGAGAACCAGGAACGAGTATGTCAGTGTGAGAAGAGCAGCTGAGAAAAGGTATGAAAATGATATAGCTAATAAAGCCAAGACCGAACCCAAGCTACTACACAGTCACATCAGGAGGAAGACAACAGTGAAGGAACAGGTGATGAAACTTAGGGTGGGCGAGGACAGGTACACAGAGAATGACAAAGAGGTGTGTGAAGAACTCAACAAAAGGTTTCAGGAGGTCTTTACAATAGAACAGGGAGATGTCGCGGCGCTAGAAGAGGTGACAGCAAACCAGGTGACCTTGGATAGGTTCGAAATTACAAGAGATGAGGTCAAGAAGCACCTATTGGAGCTGGATGTGAGAAAAGCTGTTGGGCCGGATGGAATCTCGCCATGGGTATTGAAAGAGTGTGCAGGAGCACTTTGCCTACCACTCTCCATAGTGTATAGTAGGTCACTGGAAATGGGGGACCTACCAGAAATATGGAAGACTGCTAATGTAGTACCAATATACAAAAAGGGTGACAGACAAGAGACACTGAACTACAGGCCAGTATCCTTAACTTGTATACCATGCAAGGTGATGGAGAAGATTGTGAGAAAAAACCTAGTAACACATCTGGAGAGAAGAGACTTCGTGACAACCCATCAACATGGGTTCAGGGAGGGTAAATCTTGCCTTACAGGATTGATAGAATTCTACGATCAGGTGACAAAGATTAAACAAGAAAGAGAAGGGTGGGCGGACTGCATTTTTTTGGACTGTCGGAAAGCCTTTGACACAGTACCCCATAAAAGGTTGATGCATAAGCTAGAGAAACTGGCAGGAGTAACTGGTAGGGCGCTCCAGTGGATAAGGGAGTACCTAAGCAATAGGAAGCAGAGAGTTACAGTGAGGGGTGAGACCTCAGACTGGCGTGAAGTCACCTGTGGAGTCCCACAGGGCTCTGTACTTGGACCTATCCTGTTTCTGATATACGTAAATGATCTCCCAGAGGGTATAGACTCATTCCTCTCAATGTTTGCTGACAACGCCAAAATTATGAGAAGGATTAAGACAGAGGAGGACAGCTTGAGGCTTCAAGAAGACCTGGACAAGCTGCAGGAATGGTCGAACAAATGGCTGTTAGAGTTTAATCCAAGCAAATGTAATGTAATGAAGATAGGGGTAGGAAGCAGGAGACCAGATACAAGGTATCACTTGGGAGATGAAATACTTCAAGAGTCCGAGAGAGAGAAAGACCTGTGGATTGATATCACGCCAGACCTGTCCCCTGAAGCTCACATCAAGAGGATAACATCAGCAGCATATGCCAGGTTGGCTAACATAAGAACGGCCTTTAGAAACTTGTGTAAGGAATCTTTCAGAACATTATATACCACATATGTCAGACCAATCCTGGAGTATGCGACACCAGCATGGAGTCCATATCTAGTCAAGCATAAGACTAAAATGGAAAAGGTTCAAAGGTTTGCCACCAGACTAGTACCCGAGCTGAGAGGTATGAGCTACGAGGAGAGACTACGGGAATTAAACTTCACTTCGTTGGAAGACAGAAGTTAGGGAGGACATGATCACCACATTCAAGATCCTCAAGGGAATTGACAGGGTTGATAAAGACAGTCTATTTAACACAAGGGGCACACGCACTAGGGGACACAGGTGGAAACTGAGTGCCCAAATGAGCCACAGAGATATTAGAAAGAACTTTTTTAGTGTCAGAGTGGTTGACAAATGGAATGCATTAGGAAGTGATGTGGTGGAGGCTGACTCCATACACAGTTTCAAGTGTAGATATGATAGAGCCCAATAGGCTCAGGAACCTGTACACCAGTTGATTGACAGTTGAGAGGCGGGACCAAAGAGCCAGAGCTCAACCCCCGCAAGCACAACTAGGTGAGTACACGTTAGGGTATACCAAGCTCCCCCCCCCCCCCTGAAGATAGAACTACTGACCCCGCCAACGATACAACCCCACAACAAGCCGAGTAACTGCTGAGTACCTATTTACTGCTAGGTGAACTGGAGCATCAGGTGATAGGAAATGCGCCCCCACCCCTTCTGTCCCGCCCGGGATTCGAACCCGAAATTCAGGATAGCGGGAGTGGAGAACGAGACCAGACTGTCGTAGCCGCACCCTTCCAATGTTGTTTATTATTATTATTATTAAACTAACATACGTTTGCCAAAACTGCCGTTTGTGATCAGTGACATTTAGGAAAAAAATACAAATTCCCCCCCACCCCCACCCCCTTCCCCATCCTAAAACAGGTAAGAAATATATATATATATATAAATCATTAACGATAAAAATGACTGACTTACTGACCTCAGCTGAGCCTTCAACACCAAGATGGTCTCGTGTATAACACCCAATGCACACACCTAAATTACATTACACCGCTTCTACACCACTTGGCGCAAAATACAAATAAATCCATATAACCCAATATAAAAGGCGAATACATCGATATATATATATATATATATATAATGTTTATCAATCACCTAGGTTTGGGCCGTGAGTGAGAGCTAAGTGTCTTCACTCCTCACAAACAGCTTCTGTAGTTATCTTATCTGTCCGTTATTGATACAGAGATAACGCTGGTCTTCCCGCCCGCTGTCTCCGTGCTCTCACGTGTGCAGAAATTTGTGAATTAAAGGGGTAAAGGTGAAATATAATGAGGTGCTCTACCCGCACCGACCGCCTTACTCACCTCAACCCTCAACACTGCAGCCATCTTCTCCATTACGAACCTAAATTTGTTATTCGTTTATACAACTTTCCAAGCATATTAACCCTTTCAAAACATTTCTTTTTGTATTATTATTAGTGGAACGAGTGTGCAATTCAACTATTATTTGCAGAAATTGAGTTTAAACTTCCTGGAAGTAAGCTCACGGACCCGTTTTCTTTGTCTCGTTTCCCCTACAGAACAAATTTGTCCACAAAGTGGAACTAAATTTATAAATAAATAAATAAATAAATATTTATTTAGGTAAGGTACATACATAAAGAGATTTTACAAAGTTTGTTGGATTAATAGATAGAGCTAGTACATACAATGCCTAAAGCCACTATTACGCAAAACGTTTCGGGCAGGTTGTTATTAAAGTCCTGAGATTATAACAGTCTCCGTGGCGTAGTGGTAAGACACTCGCCTGGCGTTCCGCGAGCCCTATGTCATGGGTTCGTATCCTGGCCGGGGAGGATTTACTGGGCGCAATTCCTTAACTGTAGCCTCTGTTTAACGCAACAGTAAAATGTGTACTTAATGAAAAAAAACGATTCTTCGCGGCAGGGGATCGTATTCCAGGGACCATAGGATTAAGGACTTGCCCGAAACGCTACGCGTACTAGTGGCTGTACAAGAATGTAACAACTCTTGTATATATCTCAAAAAAAAAAAAAATAAATAAATAAATAAATAAATAAATACACGGTTATATTTCTGACCGTAATTATTATTTTCACAATAGGGATGGGACTCTTGCGTCTCTAATAGTCAGGAAGGATCGACTCTGCACCCTGACTCCACCTTTATTTATTTATTTATTTATTTATATACAAGAAGGTACATTGGGTTTGTGAGAATACATTGGATAGTACAGTATTTACATTCTTGTAAAGCCACTAGTATGCACAGTGTTTCGGGCAGGTCCTTAATCTAGCAGATAATTTTAAGTAGGTAATTTCTATCAGAATTGATAAATGATAAAGATACATTACAAGAGAAAAATGAGATGAGAGAGATAAGTAAGTATATTAAAGCACATTGTTATATTAAAGCTCTAATTGATTACATTGACAGCTTGATTAGTAATTTAAATAAGGTTAATAGACACCATACAGCAGATTGACAGCACATACAAGACAGCAATGATCACAATGGTAAAGATGTTCAGATTGGGTACATAAAGATTGGGAGATTGGGTAGCAAAAGATACAGATAAACAAGATTTATAAACACCATACAGCAGATTGGCAGCACATATAAGAAGACAGCAATGATCACAATGGTAAAGATGTTCAAATTGGGAACAAAGGTTGGGAGATTGGGTAGCAATTGATACAGTGCAATTTTAAGGCAAAAAGTGAAAAACTATGAAGATGAAATTAGGTACTTTTTGGTATTGATTTTGAATGATGTAAAAGTTGGACAGCTTTTCAATTCAGTAGGGAGTGAGTTCCATAAACTGGGTCCCTTTATTTGCATAGAGTGTTTACACAGATTAAGTTTAACTCTGGGGATATCAAAGAGATATTTATTTCTGGTGTGGTGAAAATAGATCCTATTACATCTGTCCAGGAAGAGTTTCAGACAAGGATTTGCATTTAAGAACAGGGTTTTGTAAATGTAGTTGACACAAGAGAATTTGTGGAGTGAGATTATGTTTAGCATAATCTTCAAAGCACCTTCTTCAAAGAAGACCTTTCGTAACATGAAAACCATATTTTACTGAGGGAAGACTACATATTTCATCCGCATTTTGCATTATATGCTACACATACTCAAATTAACCGTAATTTACCTGAGGGCCACTAACACTCTAGTGGCCTTGATGAAGACAGGAAGCCGGCGGCTTCTCAAATATCCCCCCATTCGTCCTGATGACTTTTTCAAGCTGGATTTTAAAGTTCAGCAAAGTATTGGCATTTACTGCTTCGGTGGGTAGGCGGTTCCATGGGTTTATAACCCTGTGGGTGAAAAGGTATCACCTGTTCTCAGTCCTACATTGTGGCTTGTTGACCCTGAAACCGTTGCTCTTGTCCATGTTACATCTGACCTTTTGAAAAAGTTGTCCTAATCAACATCCTCCAAATTATTCAGTATTTTGAACGTTTCGATATCAGCTGTATCACGTCTGGCTTGCAATAGTAGTTACTTTGTTTGGGCGTGGACCCACCTACTCTTTGACTTCGGACGTAAACACTTTTTTGGACCCTGGGACCTTATGGCTCACTCTTTGCAGTGACCTTGCGGCTCTAGTTTCTTAACCTTGCGGCATGTTTCATGTGTAGCCTTCCAGCTGTAACGTACGATTATGTTATGTTGTTGGGTAGATTAGCTACACAGTGTTTAGTGGGTTTTCATATTTATTTAGTAGTCTTGGTTACAGCAGTCGGTTGTTGGCAGGGTCGTAGACGTTGAGACGAAGCTTGGAGCAGAGTGCGGCCGGAGTCGCGGAGCTGAATGCGGAAGAGTGTGGAGGCTCGATCCGGGATGGTGAGTGTGGAAACTCGATGAGGCCGAGAGCGTGGGAGCTCAATGAGGCCGAGGGCGTGGGAGCTCGATGGGGCCGAGAGCGTGGGAGCTCAATGAGGCCGCGAGCGTGGGAGCTCGATGAGGCCGAGAGCGTGGGAGCTCGATGGGGCCGCGAGCGTGGGAGCTCGATGAGGCCGAGAGCGTGGGAGCTCGATGGGGCCGAGAGCGTGGGAGCTCAATGAGGCCGCGAGCGTGGGAGCTCGATGAGGCCGAGAGCGTGGGAGCTCGATGGGGCCAAGAGCGTGGGAGCTCGATGTGGCCGAGAGCGTGGGAGCTCGATGGGGCCAAGAGCGTGGGAGCTCAAGGCGGCCGAGAGCGTGGAAAATCTATGGGGAACGAGAGCATGAAAGCTCGATGCGGTCGGAGTCTATTGTCTGCTCTGTGTCGAAGCTGAAGTGTCTTGGGGATTGTTGGAATTGAATACACCGAGTGCTACATTCTTAAGCTAGGTTGAAGATGTGTGTGTGTGGTAACTCCCAAGCGTCTGTACTGAGGTTAACTGATTGATTGATGAAGATTAAGCCACCCAAGAGGTGGCACGGGCATGAATAGCCCGTAAGTGGTGGCCCTTTCGAGCCATTACCAGTATCAAAAGATGATACTGGAGATCTGTGGAGGCGCAACTGCACCCTGCGTGACGGGAGATGTCTCCCGGACCAAGTGGTGACCAAATGGTTGTGAGGTTAACTAAACCACTGTCGATATTATATTGATGATTAATCGATCGATGAAGATTAAGCCACACAAGAGATGGCACGGGCATGAATAGCCCGTAAGGTACCTTGAGGTTACCTTGAGGTGCTTCCGGGGCTTAGCGTCCCCGCGGCCCGGTCGTCGACCAGGCCTCCTGGTTGCCGGACTGATCAACCAGGCTGTTGGACGCGGCTGCTCGCAGCCTGACGTATGAGTCACAGCCTGGTTGGTCAGGTATCCTTTGGAGGTGCTTATCCAGTTCTCTCTTGAACACTGTGAGGGGTCGACCAGTTATGCCCCTTATGTGTAGTGGAAGCGTGTTGAACAGTCTCGGGCCTCTGATGTTGATAGAGTTCTCTCTCAGAGTACCAGTTGCACCTCTGTTTTTCAACGGGGGTATTCTGCACATCCTACCATGTCTTCTGGTCTCATGTGATGTTATTTGTGTATGCAGGTTTGGGACCAGCCCCTCTAATATTTTCCACGTGTAAATTATTATGTACCTCTCCCGCCTGCGCTCAAGAGAGTACAGTTTTAGGCTCTTTAGTCGGTCCCAATAGTTTAGGTGTTTTACTGAGTGGATTCTAGCAGTAAAGGATCTCTGCACGCTCTCCAGGTCAGCAATTTCTCCAGCTTTGAAAGGTGCTGTCATTGTGCAGCAGTACTCCACTCTAGAGAGCACAAGCGTTTTGAAAAGTATCATCATCGGTATAGCATCTCTAGTGTGAAAAGTTCTTGTTATCCAACCTGCCATTTTTCTTGCAGTTGTGACGGCTACTTTATTGTGTTCTTTAAAGGTAAGGTCTTCCGACATGAGTACACCCAGATCCTTTACATTGCCTTTTCGTTCTATGTTATGATTTGCCTGAGTTTTGTACGTGGTTTCCGTTTTTATATTTTCATTTTTTCCATAGCGCATGAGCTGGAACTTATCTTCGTTAAACACCATATTATTTTCTGTAGCCCATAGAAAGACCTGATCTACATCTGATTGGAGGTTCGGCGTGTCCTCTATGTTGCCTACTCTCATGAAGATCCTAGTGTCATCTGCAAAGGATGATACAGTGCTATAGGTTGTGTTCTTGTCTACGTCCGATATGAAGATGAGAAAAAGTACTGGAGCAAGCACAGTACCCTGGGGGACTGAGCTCTTCACGGTTGATGGGCTGGATTTTATTTTGTTGACTATTACACATTGGGTTCTGTTGGTCAGGAAATTGTAGATCCATCTGCCTATTTTTCCGGTAATTCCTTTTGAACGCATTTTATGTGCAATAACACCATGGTCACATTTATCAAAAGCTTTTGCGAAATCTGTGTAAATTACATCAGCGTTTTGTTTGTCTTCCATAGCATCTAATGCCATATCATAGTGGTCCAGCAACTGCGACAGGCAAGAGCGCCCTGTTCTGAAACCATGTTGTCCGGGGTTATGGAGATGCTGTGATTCCATGTATTTTGTGATCTTACTTCTTAGCACTCTCTCAAAAATTTTTATGATGTGCGATGTTAGTGCTATCGGTCTGTAATTTT